AAAAGAAAAGATAAAAAAAAAAAAAAAAAAAAAAAAGAATGAATGAACGACAGCTACATAATGTGGAACAAGCGCCAGCTCATAAAATGCGCATATATGATTCTATTTCTATGAAGTTCAAAATCAAGCAAAATCAGTGTTTAGTCTAATAAGTCAGGATACTGGTTGCCTACCAGCTGGAGATAGGGTGAAGGCAAGGGAACATGAGGAGGCTTCTGAGGTTGCAGGATCTTTGTAACACTGCTTTTTCATTGAGATTTTGCTTACATGGGTGTGTTCACTTTGTGAAAATTTGAGCTGCACATATACATGGGTTCATATCATTTTCTCTGTGTATTGACTTTAAAATACTTCAAGAAGTTTTTTATAAAATTACAGGAGGGCCAGCTGGTGGTGTAGTGGTTAAGGTGCTAGACTCCCACAGGACTGGTCTTAGTTTGAGTCCTGGACCTAGTGGCTTGAAAATCATTGATAGGCACATCTACATGCATGCCCCAAATATATATATATATATATATATATATATATAATTCTATCAGCCTATTTAAGCAAAGATGATTGTTTGAGCCTATGGAGAAGAAAGAAAAATGACTAAATGTGAAGGTTATGCTGTCTATAGGGTGTTTCGACTCACCTTTGTCCTGTAGTGCAATTTGTTGTTTATGTAGTAAAGCCACCTCTCGTCCCAAAGCTTTCTTCTGTCTTTCCAGTTCATTTCGAAGCACCAAAATCTTCAATTGCAGGCACTCACTTTCTTTTTTCTAAAAAAAAAACCCACAGATAAATTTATAAAGGCTGTGACTGTAAATAATTAATGTATCCACAAAACGGATATATAATTCTCGCTGTTTCAAAAATGAATAATGTTTTAAAACACTTCAATGCTCATCATTTCTGTGGATCTCTTAAGTAACATAATTTCCAGCTGCCATCATTTAATTGGAAAGAATACAGAAATAAGCAAAGAATAAGAGTAGAAATAGATCATAAACCTGGGGACTAGAAAGATACTATAAAGCATCTCAGGTTTCTTTTCTGACATCACAATGCAATAAAGAAACAAAGTTATTAATAAAAAAAGAAATGGAGTTTTTGAAAAATTTAATACAGAGTTCCTATGGAACCCAGTAATTCCACTCTGAGGTAGATGCCCGACAATAGTAAAAATAGGTCCACACAAAACTCTGAACACAAATGTTCACAGTAATATAATAGCAAAAAGTATAAATAACCCAAATGCCAATCAATTGGTTAAGTGGATAAATAAAAGTCATACATTCAATCAAATACTATTTTGCAGTAAAAAGGGAAAAAAATCAAGTACTGAAAAATAGATAAATTTTAAAAACATTATGCTAGGCCCGGCAGGTGGCATGAGGTTAGCGATGCTGGACTCCCACATGGTTGACCATGGTTCAAGTACCAGACCTGACAGCTTGCTTTCTCGCTTTCTCTCTCTCTCTCTCTTGCTCTGTCTCTCTGCGGTCAAACTACAATAAATAAATAAATAAATAAAATCTTTTTAAAAAAATTACAAAAACACTAATGCCAAGTAAAAGAAAATTTTATAAAAGGACACACACTATATGACCCCATTTATATTAAATATTGAGAACAGAAAAATACACAGAAACAAAAAGTAGATTTCCACTCTTGCCAAGCCAAACCTACATGCTCTAATCTCCTGCCCATTTCAGAGAAGGCGAAGTAGGAACCTAGGACTTTCATCCATGCTGGACAGTAATCAATAAAAAGCAGGTTCTTTCAAAAGCTCAATAAAATTGATAAAACGGTAGCCAAGCTAGCCAAGAAAAATATAAAAGACAAAAATGACCAATATAAGGAATTAAAGATCACCACTGATCCCATTAAAAGAGTAACTAAAGAATGCTATAAACACCATGCCCATGAATTTAATAACTTGCATGAAATAGACAAAAATTTTTTAGAGAGAAATCTACCAAAATTCCTACTAAGAGATAATAGATAGCATATACAAGCCTGTATTGATTTTAAAAATTAAATCAACAATTAATAGCCTTCCAAAACAAAAAGGACTAGGCCTAACTGGTTTTAGTAGTGAAGCCTACCAAATACTTAAACAAGAAAGGATACTAATTCTTAGAAATCTCTTCCAGTAATTAATTTTTCTTTTATGATAGCACATGTGGACACCTGAGAGAGAGAAAAAGAAGTACCCTCAACAGGGTTTCATCATTCCATGATCCCTCTACCTAGCCCTCCATTTTCTCAGAATTCTGGCAACCAGCATGTTCTTAGGCAGACTCAGGAATCCATATTTGCGATATGGCTTCCATCCTCTCAGGGCATTTGCGTTACCATTGTACTATAGCAGCTGGACCTCCTCTAGAAATTAGAAGTGAGGGAACACTTCTTAACTCTTTCTATGAGGGCAGCGTCAATGTAACCCCAATACCAAACAAAGTCATCACAAAATATTAACAATCCAAAACCGATGTTATTTAAGAAGTATACAACACAGCCAAATGAATTTATCCCAGGTACGCAAGGTTGGTTCAACATTCGAAAAGCAGTTAATGTAATTAATCCTATCAGCAGGCCAAGGAGCACAGATTTTCAGAGCAGTGAAACTATTCTATAGGATACTATTGCTATTGTTTGAATATAGTGACCCTTCTAAACCCTCATGCTGTAACTCGAAACCCTATGTGGCAGTTTGGGAAAGTAGGTCTTAGAAGGAGGTATTTGGGATATGGGGGTAGATTCCTCATGAATAGGATAAGACATCCTCAGTTCTCCTTAACTAGTTCCCTTGAGAGTGTGATGGTATGAAAGCAAGTCAACTGCCTGCAGGTCCTTCTCCCTCTGCTTTCCTGCTTTCCTTGTTTCTCTCAGCCATGTTCTGACTAATCAAGCCAGCCAGATGCCAATCTTATGCTCTTGGACTTTCCAGACACTGAAATTGTGACCCCAATAAACCTCTTCTCTCTGTCTTTCTCTCTCTCTCTCTCTCTCTCTCTCTTTTTAAAGAGATTTTTGCCTTAGGGTGCATGTGCTTGCCAGAGAGAGAGAAAGACAAAGTAAGAGGGAAAGTGAGGAAACTCCCCACCCCAAGGGGATGGCCATGTTGCAGTCCTTTCTCCTCCATTCTCCTCTCAGGATTTTAGGTAAGCACACACATGTGCCTGGTGTGATTTGAAGTCACTGGGTCCAGGACTTGAATCATGGTCAGCCATGTGGGAATTCAGTGACACAACCACTATGTCATCTGCTGGACCCAATTCCTCTCTTTATGAGTCATCCAGTCTCAGGTATTTCTGTTACAACAACACTAATGAACTCAGAGAACTGTAGCAGTGGATATGTGACACAATGCATTTGTCAAAACTCATAAAACTGCAGGGACCAGCAGTTAGCGTAATGGCTACGTCACTGGACTCCCACATAGTTGATCGCAGTTTGCGTCCCGGACCAGGTGGCTTAAAACTCACGCCGGGCGCGTGTGTGTGTGTGCCCAGGATCCCGAGAGGAGAATGGAGGAGAAGAGATCGTGGCGTGGCCATCCCCCCTGGGGGTGATTTCTTGCTTTCTGTCTCTCTGTCTCTCTCTCTGTCTGGAGAGTGCAAGTGCCCTATAGCAAAAACTTCTCAAAAAAAAAAAAAAAAAACCATCATAAAACTGTATAACACAAATAACCTGTAGCCTAGTAGTTAAAGAGAACTGGGTCCCAAATAGGTGACTGTGGTTCAAATTCTGGCCCTGATGGCTTGAAAAACATGCCAGATGCATGGGCATGCATGTCCCAAATCCTGACGTGATAGAGAAATGGAGGAGAAGGAATTGTGACAAGACCATGCCCCACTGGGGAGGAGGGTGCTTCCTCCCTCTCTCTGTTGGCCTCTGTCTAGTGAGCACATATACCCTCTGGCAATTAAAAAAGAAAAAAGTCATAGACATACAGACTAAAAAAATATATATTCTACTAAATCTTCATTTAATAAAATGTATTCACTGACACTTTCTACCAGAGACTTAAGTTTGTTAAATAAGGTTCTTACCTTTTCATATAAATATTTGCTACTTAAACTTCTTGTAAACCATGGTTTAAAGTTTACTGAGACTCCTTTTTGTCTCCAAATACCTTACTTGAATTTGCCTCCAGATACAAATCTGAAATCCTGCCCTAACAATAAAGATATGTGTCTGCAAATGTGTTCACACACACACACACACACACACACACACACACAAACATGCAATTATTGCACTATGACTGCATATACCCTTCTCTCTTGGTCTTTATCAAATACAGAGATACCTCAGAGATGATGTGAGTTCAGTTTCAGACCACTGCAGTAAATGACTATTGTAATAAGAAGAGCCACACAAAGTTTTGGTTTCTCAATGCATAAACAATTTAGGTTTACATGATTGTAGCCTATTAAATATGTATTAGTATTATGTCTAAAATTTTTCAGATACATATCTTAATTTTAAAAATACTTTATTGCCAAAAAATGCTTGTAAGCATATGCATTTTCAGTAAGTTATAATCTTTTTTTGCTGGCAAGGGGTCTTGCTTCAATATTGATTGCTGCTGACTGATCAGTGGGAGCTGCTACAGGTTGGGGTAGCTGCGGCAATTTCTTAAAATAAGACAACAGTGAAGTCTGGTTTATTGATCAACTCTTTCTTTCACAAAAGATTTCTCTATCATGATATGGTTTGATAGTGTTTTACCCACAGTAGAACTTCTGTCAAAAGTGGAGTCAATGTTCTCAAGCCCTGCAGTTGCTTTATCAACTAAGTTTATGTAATATTCTAAATCATTTGTTATCATTTTAACAATATTCACAAGTTTTCAATTTATTCTGCCAAGATCTATCAGAGGGATCACTATCTCTGGCAGCTATAACCTTATGAAATGTATTTCCTAAGTAATAAGACTTGACAGTCAAAATTACTCCTTGATCCATGGCTACAGAATGGATTTTCTCTGTTGGCAGGCAGGAAAACAACATTAATCTCTTATACATCTCCATCAGAGCTCTTGGGTGACCAGGTGCTTTGTAAATGAGCAGTAATATTTTGAAAGCAATCCTTCTTTCTAAGCAATAGCTCTCCACAGTGTGCTTAATAGTCAATAAACCATGCTGTTAAGAAGTGTTGTCATCCAGACTTTTCTGTTCCATTTATAGAACAGAGGCAGAGTAGATTTAGCATAATTCTTAAGGGCTCAAGGATTTGTGGAATGATATATGAACACTGGCTTCAAGTTACCAGCTATAATAGCCCTTAACAAGAGAGTCAGCCTGTTCTTTCAATCTCTGAGACCAGGCTGTAGAACTCCCTAGTTATGCAAGTCCTAAATGGCATCTTCTCCCAACAGAAGTTTGTTCTGTCTACATTGGAATCTGTTGTTCAGCATCTTCATCAATGAACTTGCTAGATCTGCTGCAGCTTCTACATCAGCACTTGCTATTTCATCTTGCATTTTAATGTTAAGGCTTCTTTCCTTAAACCTCATGAACCAACTTCTGCTAACTTTTAACTTTTATTTTGCAGTCACCTCTCCTTTCTCAGCCTTCACAGAATTGAAGAGAGTTAGAATCTTAAATCTGAATTAGACTTTGGCTTAAGGAAATATAGCTGGTCTAATCTATCCAGACCACTAAAATATTCTCCATTATCAATAAGGCTGTTTCACTTCCTCATCATTTAAGAGTTTACTGGAATAGTACTTTTAATTTCCTTCAACAACTTGTTCTTTGGATTCACA